AGATGTGTATAACCTCTGAAAATCTGGCTATTGGGGAAGGACTGGGGAGAAGAGGCCAAGGAGAAAACTGACCAATCAGAGAAGGCTCTGGACATTCATTTAGTGGAAGCGTAAAACCTGCATTGATATCAGGGGAGTATCCAGGATTTTTTTTGAAAGGGGGGAGGGGGGGTGGGGGCTCAAAAGTTAGACTGGTGTAGAGATATATATAGATCATTGAGATAGGGAGACTACTAGTTTCAATCCAATTACTTTGGTTGGCGGGCAAGTACCACAGGGTTACCACCAGAAAGTGAGTTTAAATCGTATGAAAATTATAACCTTGTTAATCATTGTTATGAATTATAACCTTTCTTTTGTTTCGTTTTTCTCTATGTTGACATAAGTACCTTACCAATAATGTGTGGTAGTGTTTATCAAATCTACCACTTTCTTAGGGGATGGGGGGTTGCAACCACCTCCACCTTTCCCATAGATCCACTCCTGGATATCATKGAATATTAGAGATCAGGTGTCCTGAGGAAATGTTGTACCACTGCAAAAATTGGCACAAAAGAGTTTCAGAACAGGAAAATGTGCATGTACACTGATAAGGCAGCTAAATACGAGATACAAAAACCATCAACTTGGCACGCAACATTGTTTCTGTTAAAGTTGAGTATCAAAGTTTCTCGTTTTTCATGCATCGTCAACTTGTTATGCAACAAAAATAAATCGTGAAAAACAAGAAACACCGATGCTCAACTTGAACAGAAACAATGTTTCGCGCCAAGTTGAGGGTTTTTGTTTCTCGTATTTAGCCGCCTTTAGGACACATGGTCTCAGCAACATGAGGGGAGCATATTCGCCCATCACCTGTCATTGTAAAGCTGTAGAGCAAGTGTTTTTGGGTTGCATTGCAAACTACCCTAGTTCATAGTATGCCGTGGTTGATGTTATAGAAAAATCCTTTATACACAGTCATACGTCTGAATTTTATTAAATCTAAAATATTTTATAGCATTATCGAGATTAAAACTTTTGATAACATTCCTCATTTTACCTGAAACAATCTGCAATTTCCATAAATAAAAATTATAAAATTATGTGAAATTGTTATTGTTCTGTACTTAAATCTACCTGCTTTCCAGATAAAGTTCATCATCTATTTTAAAAGTACCAAGCGGTCAAAATCTTTCATTTTTAAGCTTTTTTTCTTACCAGACCACCAAGTTTCTCTTTTTCTACATATTCTTGCCTTGCAGTAAGAAATCCATCCACTTGTTAAAATCACRATTTTTTCATGTGATATTCAAATACCATAATCATTCCCAGAGTGCTGCATAGTTTCCATACAAGACAAGAGCAAGGGGTCCCCCAGCAGTAAASAGTTTCGTTTCAGTTGGATCATAACAATGGGTGTATATAGCATTTTTGAAGCAGTCTACGTCTTGTTCTGTAAAAAACTCATAGACAGTGCTATCCATACGCTAATGAAAAAAGAAGAAGAAAAAAAAAAAAGCCAAGAATGAATGGGAGAGCTGACCAAAGCATTTGACCACCCAGGCATGCAACACTGACTTTGGACAATACTTAACATTTAAATTCACAACTTATTACAGGGTACTGTATTTGTGCACTTTGTTTCACACTGGTGTATGGAAACCCCACATGTCTAGAGATTTGAAAATAGTTCTGATATATAATGAATGCTACTTACCAACCAGCCTTTTCCAGACTTCAGTGAAAGTGTTTGTCCACATCTTTTTGTAAGATATTTATTGCGATTGAGGTCATAGAAATATACTGAACCGTGACCAGTTCCAATGGTGACTAACGAGTCCTTGAAACTCACAGAACGCACGCCTATAAAAAATGATATGAATATGTACATGTAATACAGTCAAATTAACAAATTTAATATATTAATGATAGTTTCTCTTAACAAATTTAATATAATGATATTTTCTCTTTGTCAACAATTTTGACATAATGAGATGACACCAACCACTAAATAAGATGACATATACCACAAGAAACATATTATATCAAAAAAATATGTTTTTTACTTAAAAAAAGAACAATCTTGCGATCATGGACGTACTTTTATTTATTTCTCTTCCTGTGCTGATGAGAAGACATCAATACTGGACACAAATATTTCAACAGAGTGCACCTACCAGCCCCAATATCCTGTGTTCTGATGTTCCTCACATTCTTGTCTGTACGTAAGTCCATAAATGAAACATCTGATTGAGACCCTACAGCATATAGTCCCTTTTCCTTGTGCAATGCTAAACAGACATTTTCATACTCATAAGGTAAATGAATTGTTGAAAGTCTTTGTTGGGTCTCTATGTCCCACACATAGAGGAAGGCATTTGGGGAGAGAGCAACCAGATGCTGATGAACAAATAAAAAAAAAAATAGCTTAGTATCTTTGATTGATTGATGCAGGTTTTATTTAAATTGAACAAAATTTGTATAATTTATGTATGATTGTATGGAATCATTGTTTATTGATATGCCCATTTATTGACTGATTGATTGGCTGATGTATTGTCTGACTGAGTGATTGATTGATGAATTGATTGATTGATGAATTGATGTGATGATTGATTAGCTGATGATGATGTACATGTACATGTATTGACTGATGACTGATTGATGTGTTGATTGATGATGTATTGACTGATAATTTAATTGATGTATTGATTGATGTATTGACTGATTGATTGATGTATACATTGATTGGCTGATTGATGATGTACTGATGTATTGATTGATGATGTATTGACTGATCATGTTTTGATTGAGTTATGATGTATAGATTAATTGATAAATTGATGTGCTGATTGATTGGCTGATAGTTTGATTGATGTGTTGATTGATTGGCTGATAGTTTGATTGATGTATTGATTGATTGGCTGATAGTTTGATTGATGTGTTGATTGATTGGCTGATAGTTTGATTGATGTGTTGATTGATTGGCTGATAGTTTGATTGATTGGCTGATAGTTTGATTGATTGATTGATTGATGTATTGATTGATTGATTGGTTGATTGATTGATGTATTGACTGATAATTTAATTGATGTATTGACTGATAGTTTGATTGATTGATTGATTGATGTGTTGATTGTTGTATTGACTGATAATTTAATTGATGTACATTGACTGATTGATGTATACATTGATTGGCTGATTGATTGACGTACATTGACTGATAGTCTGATTGATGTATTGATTGACATAAATTGACTGATTGATTGATTGATGTGTTGATTGATGATGTATTGACTAATTGAGTCAATGAATTAAATTCAAGTAATCTGATAATTCTTAACACCTACCCCAGTGTAACCATTGTAAGCCAAATCCCTTATTTTGTCTTCACTTAGAGGACTTGTGAATGTTGCCTTTGGTGATAGARCTGGGGGCCTGATCTTGATGTGTCCCCTTGTGCCWGCAAATCTTAGTACCTCATTGTTCATACTACTGGACCTAAGGCTGTCTGTATTCCATACTGATACTGTCCCATCTCTTGAKCCTTAATCAATAATAGAGCCTTATTATTAATAATTAATACAATGTCCTCTGCAGGTGCATCACACTATGCTTACTCTCATCTGCTGCCTGTAGCAATTAATCTCTCACATTAATGGGTTCCCTGTGTTATCTGAGTGAGAGCAGTAGACTTGAACTGATGCAAATWGCCACAGTCCACACTCCCCTCTTCCCTATCACTCCATAGGGAACCCAATACATTGAGAAACCAGAGGCCTCATCGATTATGTATGGCTTTTATCAACTGGATAAGGATTTATCAGATGGATAGTCAGTGCTATTTAACCCGCCATGCAACTTCTCCATTACATAGTGGATGGCACTGATCACCATTCATATAACAGGTCCAAGAACAGCAAATTGCCGGCAGGGACCTAATGTGCCCCTCATTTTACCATTCTAATTCCCCAAAGGAATACAAAGGAGATCATATGACACTTATTGGAGCTGTAAATATCCCACCCTATGTGCACTACTTTACCTGTCGCTATCAATCTATCGTTAATCCATTCTGTTCCAAACACCCAGTCACTATGGTTCTGAAGTAGGAAAGAAGATGAAAGGAGTAGTCTATAGATCATTGCATGGGAACCCATTTCATTGGGGGAGTTTATTGACTTCAAAGGCCATTCACAATAAGTGTGAGTTTGATCAAATAAATGGTTGTAGGTTGGTCTATTCATTATGATTTACTTCAACCTAAAAGTTATTTCTAAGTGTGAGTTTGTTCTTTGATCAAACTATTGCAATAAGTACATGTAAAACCCTGTTTATCTGGCAATTTTTGGGGTAATTTTTGGCAGATAATGTTAAGGATCATCCAAAAACCTTTGTGTGATTTTCTCACATATGGAAAATCACCATAATCATTGATTTTTAAACACTCAGAAAGCAAATTTCAACAGATCACTAACTTGTAAAACAAAGCAAAAGAACTCAAAGGTCCTTGGATGCATGTTACAGTAATCTTTAAAAGTTTTATTCAGTACACAAAGATGATCAAAAATTCTTCCCAATGATAAGACAAAATCTATTCATATTTTTGAGTATCGCCAGAAAAAAATCACAAAAAATCAAAGCACAAATTTCATAAGAATCGCCAGCATGAACCAGCCTTACGACATAATAAATACCTCGCCAATCAGGACTGGTTCAAGAGTAGGAAGCCTATAAACAGCTAARTGGTTTGGGTTTTCACCATTAGTGGCAAGCAGTGTTCTTCTTTCATTTATAGCTATATCATGGACTCCTGCTGAAGCTAATGGCATCACAGAGTGCGGACTGCCTTGTAACATTGGAATAACAATCTTTTCTTTTGTAAAAACATCTAAAACAAATAACTAAAAACAAAGAAAACACATAAATTAAGCYTTCAACTCATCTGTTGTGCTATCATTTCACCAACATGTGAACAGAACTTTTTACAAAGTATCGGAATAAATGAAGTTTGGTGCAAAAACATTAAAATGCCATGGGCCACAATGTAAGCAGGGTTTTCAATAGAAGCAAGCAACCAGCAAAATCCAGCATCTTATTTGACCCAGTTTTGGCTGGCTACTTTTGCCAAATCTTAATATTTGAATGGGTTGTGCTACTTGTGGTCCCTTGCCATTCACGTGAATATTAAATGTGGAAGTATGTGGCATCTCTCAGTGAGCAAGCAGCCTGTTGTATGAATCGTGAACAGTTTACAATCAAGTGGATACACTGTAAATCCTTATCCAGCAGGTAAAACTGGTTGGAGTAGACAACTTTATTTGTCGAATTACATTATCAAACCTTCATACAACTGGCTGCAGATGGTCAATAAGGCCTCCAACATTACACTGCAGTTGCATCTCTCAAACATTTCGTTTTCAATCATGCTCTGTAACTGCTTTCTCCTTCGATTAAACACTGCTTCGTCTACGTATGTTTATGTTTAATTTCCGAGCTTTCGGATCATTTGATCCATCATCAGGGACTAGTGATACAAATGAATTAACTAGCGGTTGAAAAACTAAACACATGACGAAAATGCTAAATAATGTGTTTAGTTTTTCAAACGCTAGTTAATTCATTTGTATCACTAGTCCCTGATGATGGATCAAATGATCCGAAAGCTCGGAAATTAAACATATACATACCTAGACAAAGCAGTGTTTAATCGAATATGACTCCTACGTACAGAGAAATCTTAAATGCTTTCTCCTTGTTAGAGTTGGAACAGCCCATCAATCAGCCTGCCCTTCTTCTCTTAGCTTATTTGGGAGAGGGTAATAGAGTGCTTGTCAGCAAAGTGACCTTCAGCTATTTACCTTATTACACTTTGTACCAAAGATCACTCGTCGGTCATCCAACCAATTCGACGCAAACACTTTATCCGTCTTCCCAAGTGAAATGTTTGAAGGTTTCAATAAAAAAGGGATTTTTTGGTTCTTTAAATTRCTTATAGTTGWTCTRGACAGCGTTGTGTCTTGTAATTGACGCTTTGTGAGGTATTTGAAAACAGACATAATAGTTTAAATTATTTGAAGATTATTGCCTATTTTTGTTGTATAACTWATTAAGTGTCTCAAATTCAATACATTTGTTGAGACCAGCTGTCTTTTAGGTGCTGTAGTTTAAAGCTTGAAGTATATTTGAAGCGCTAAATTGYTTGAAACAGGCCTAGTTTTCCAAAGATCAGAGAAATTTGTARGAAAGAACAATATCTCCTGGCAACCAGTCCTGTAGAGCTTTCAAATGCTTGATAATATCAGTACCAATACCACTTATAGCTGAAGCAATAAGTATAAATGTTATACCGACAAGTTTTCAAAGATTCTCGTAGTTGTGAGAATTTGTAAACTTGAATTGCGATCAACAGTTTTKGAATTTGTCATCACACAGACCACGTCAGCCATGTGGCACGGTAAAAGCGTTAATCCCCGTCAACTTGAATATCTGGCATCAAACATAGCTTCAGCATTATTCCTTATATCTTGAAGGTTTAAATTTTCTGTAAGAAAGACCGGAGATTTTGACCCAAGACAGATCATGTGCAAGAACAACAAAAATTTTAGTCGTTGTCTGGGGTGCCAAGCCTTTTAATACCAAAGGTATCCCAATCTTTGAACAAGTTTCGAAAATGGCGACCTCTCATGACCTGTGGCGGGAAAGCAGTTCCAACTTCTACAAAGGTTTTAACAGCTTCTTAAAGAACAAATACAGAGGTAAAAATCTACTTTATGTACAGATATATTTTATTAATATTTTATGCTAAGATCGGCGCGATAATTTCGACAAGAGACGAGTTTAAATTTTCGGTAAATTTGCTCCACAGCTAAGCAGACTGGCAAAACCAAGTATAAATCACATGTTGTTCTGCTCATTTTTTCGTTGGAAAGTGCCCGTTTGAAAAAAAAAGAACACCAGTACCYGCATTTGATTTGATCTGTGAACTCGTGGATATTTACGTGAGCAGTAAGCTTTTATAGAGGGGATTTCGTATGAGTGGGAAACGGACGGTACTGTACTGTGTACTGTAGAGCTCTCAAAGGAGAATGTGAATGTGAAGTGGTCTCATTTGGTGCCAAAAGAGGATCGTATTTCATTCTCTGTAAATTCTTAATTAAAATAAAAACTCACAAAGTAAACAAATGATAGTATTTTGACTGACTTTGTATGACCTTTGCTTTTAATAGCCTTTTAAGTGCTTTTTTTCCCCTTTGGGCTGCCTGTGGAGACGGATGTGCTGATTTTACATAACGCAGGCTAGGAAGGCTGGSGTGTCTTAGGTGCGGTGCAGGCTCCAGGTTTCGCGGCTAATTCTGTTMTTTTTGGTTTGTTTCTTTGCATTTCTTTGTATTTCCGTCCGCTCTTTAGTTTTCTTTTCCCTGCTCATTTTGTTGACTCTTGTAATCACAATCATAAACATAAGCATAAACAACAACAATAAAGATAAATAAAACCGTATAGACCCCTTGCAGCTCATGGGAATGCAGYTCCAACTGGAGGACAAAACAATGAAGTTTAGTTCCCAAGAGGGCAAAAATCTTTTGTTTTGTCTTCCAGATGAAGCTGCTTTGACGTCACATGCAAGGGTTCTATTATCATAATCGGGCGTGCTTTCGGAGCGAGCGTATAACATCCACAAGGAATGATCACGCTCTCGTTACGACCGACCATGACTTTATTTTAACATTTTCATCATTCTTTCTCAAGGATGCAATGGACAGGGTCTTAGGCCAAGTATTTTTATGACTGGTCACGGGGTATTAAAATAATTTCCAAATGCACAAGGTCAAGGCGAAACCTGGACACTTCGAAATATCTAGAGACTTGCTATTTGACATTGTGCTAGCTGAGTTTATTAGCTACTGTTTTTTTTATATTTGCTGGCTCATCTCGAAGGAAATAACAGACACGCCTACGTTTAGGGGTCAAGAGCGAGAAACTTTGTCCAGTAGAGGGTGCTGACGTAGTTTTCACTTACACAAGGGGCGATATGAAGCAGTCTGCCACTTGAAACTCTACGCAGTATTCGCAAGCTTTTCGATTCGGCCATATGATTTCTTAGTATTTTCTTAGTATTTTCCACTTTAGTTATCATTACGTGAAATCCAGTAGTGCATAGTCTGCGCAGCTGTTTTTGTGCAGGGAGGGAATACAGGGAAAATCGACTGCAAAAAAGAAAAAAAAGTGAAATATTAAATTAATCGTTATGTCTGTGATTTCCCTGCTCTCTGCATTTTTCAATCATTTTTCTCTTAATAATTCAGTTAAATAGATGTAGTTTTTAAGATTTGAAATAATGAAGGTGGTAATGCAATCAGCCGAAGCCCGAGGGTGGTTGCACTCGACGAGACCTTGCTGGATTATTTCGGATATATATAAAAAAGGGACAACAACCGAAGTCAGTAATCGTTTTATAACACGTTGTTTATATTTTTACCTAAGATTAAGGTTATCTATGTGAAAAAAGCTATTTAAAAAAAACTTATATTTTACGCTGTAATTTGGCCAGATTCTGGGAAAAATCATTGTACGCGCACTAAAAATCAGAAAATAGCATGCATGTGATCTCTTATATATATTTTAATAATATGAGAAACAATAATTTTGTCTTTTTCATTCCATTTTTCATTGCATTCGAAGATTTTGTGAGATTATATGGAAACTTGAGATTCATTAATCGCCAGCATAGCCAGGACAAGGACTTCGCGAGTGCAACTATGATTTCATCACTGCCCAAATCCCACCCTAATTGTACGCACAATTTTGTACCAAAGAAAAATACTTCAAAAAGCAGAAATTTTATCAGCACAGTGTCGCTTCAACGGGTTCTAAAATATAAAAATTCTCCCCGAGAAAACGTTTCTCACCAAAATCCATGCACAAAATGACTCCGGGAGACGAGAATGCTCATTATGAATCTTTTGAGCTATCAAATATCTTCAAAATAAAGCGATTAAATTTCTAACGGAGAATGATCGCGTTTCAACCAAGAGTTGTCTGTTTCTCGGTGACATTTGAACTCAATTCACCGTCARYCCATGAGAGGTTGATTCCRCAGAAACAACAAAAGTTGGAGATTTACCAAGTGGAATTCGCCAGCTCTTTGCGTGGCTGCATCTGGCAGATTTTGGTGACGCAAAATTGGCTTAACAATTAATACCATTATAGCACTWCCACAGTMGGGCATTGGGCTTGAGAAATTTGTGTACAAGTCGTAGCATTACGGAGTTACCTTCGGTTGCTCTAGCGTTCTGAATTGTATATGTCCAAGTTGTTTTAGTTTGAAGTTTCAGTTGCACATATAACGAATTGACGTGCTGTGTCAGTCACAAATACGAGTCAAAATCGGSCACGAAGTATCTGAAACAACAATCGCAGAACGCATTCACTCTTGTGACAGTTTCTTGCTAGAAACTCGGATAAATTACTAGAACGCACGGTTCTTGTGCTTAAAGAACTAAGAAAAAGATGGCTAAACAACTGTTCTTCAGAATTTTAGTTGGTATTTCAATTTTGGGCTCATGTTTCTCRCAACAACAGAATCAAGGCCAAAATGTTGGCTCTGGAAATGTTGGAAATGTTCGTCCAAGGAAGCAATACCAAATCTTGAAAGGGTAAGCGAGCTATTGTAACATTTAATACTATTATCTCTACCTAAATTTAATGRCTTTAATGGTTATTCTATCTAATCTTTTACGAGTAAAATTGTTGCTAATTCATTCATCAGAGTTAAATCGCGTGTGACATRTTCTTTAAGCTTTTGTCGTCGTTTGAAAAGGTTCACCTTTGAGGAATTCGAGCAGACACCACTTAGTTTTAACGAAGTATCAATCAATTACTTAGTTTACTTGGTGTTTTTATTCAATTAAACTAAGCGAAAAGAAACTGCCGATGTTTTCAATTAGTTAATTWTGATAATTAGAGGTTATTAATTTCTATAAACCTGTGAAAAGCTCTTTATAGCTGGTGTATTTAGAGTTATATGAYCGGTACAAATATGTACAAAATCCGTTGATTTTCACTAGAGATGTTTGTTTAGTTCTACGATTATTTCAACTCATTTTTACCACCAAATTTACACTTAACTACCACATTGTAAACAGTGGGCACTTTTTGCTTTGTACTCTGTGTTAAAATAYCTATAAAAGATGGTTAAATAGGAGAAAAAGTTGTCGCGCAATATTGTTTCTGTACAATCCTTTGGAAATGATGTTTCGATTCTTGTCACGCAACAAGAACATTTTCTGCCAACTAAATAGATCACGCGCGGTAATTATGAAATTCAGCAAAACCGAGGCCCGAAATGCTGCAGACCTGCTAGATGTGCTGACAACAAGGAACAAACAAGAAATTTTGTTTCGGAAAAGTGATCACGTTTGTACTTTGCGCACAGCTTGGAACATCAACATTCTTGTACCATGACAAGTTGAACAAAGTGAGAACTTTTAAAACGGGAAATCTCCTTTTCTAACTTGATAATTTGWGACATCTGATGTTTCATGTCGGTGCTTTAAAATTGCTTCTATATGTGCTATGGTATATGATATTATCTACATCATGTAAAGAGTTCAAGACAACATTCGTGACACTAAACACTGAGTAATTAATTTTTTTAACAGGCCTAACGTCTGCGGTGTGAACCAGGGYCCTCAATGTTGCCGAGGATGGCAGCAGCAATCGTCACTTGGACTCTGCATCGTGCGTRAGTAACCTTTTGATTTTTTTTATAATCAACCAGCTAGAATGTGTGGTCRAATGGTCGGGTTTGTATCGCTGTGGTCCCATTCCGGACCGATTCCCATTCCAATACCATRTGRCGTTTCTTTCTGTTTAGTTTGWAAGCACTTATCTTTTCCAGAACATYATTTAAAGGGGGATRTACAGGGTRTCCATCATCCCCTTCCCTTTCAAGCCAAAAAATTCAAAAATGAGTCTTACAGTGTTTGTTTAAACTTAACTTAATCCAGTATTAATAAATATGATTTCTATCTGGAAATTTATTTTCATTTCAAAAGATCGGTTGGTACGTCGTGTGACATCGTAGTTGGGAATTTTGTATGTAAGGAACACCCAACCCCCCTCCCCTAAGTACAAATTCTAGATACGCCCCATGCTCTTCCTCCCCTTGTCAAGGACTAACATCAAAAGACCCACATTGACAGCAAATGGTATAAGGGTTCATTTTAGGGATCCAATCTCTTTATGGTATTTTGATATTAAGAATGTTAAATTGACATGATCTTTCCCACGCAARTAAATCTAACATATCCTATGAAMTGTCACTCGTCGACTTCCKCTTTTTTTGATGGCCTCGGTCACGGGCGGAAAGTCTCCGTCCCTCCCAGTCTGGTTTAGATGGTACTTTGAAAAAGTAATTAAATTTAGACCCATCRAGTAAGTTTGGAATTATTGTTGGCATATCGTGAACAAGCATTGTGTATTTACGCCATGTTGTCAGCATTTCTAAAACAAAAAAGGAATAATATATTCGAGTACTATTTATAATTTAGTTTGGGCGTATTTTCATATATATGTGAGTGATACCTTAATCCGTTTTTTATTTTCTTTACAAATATACATTACAAGTGATTTTTATGTTTTTATAAAGCACATCAACGGATTTGGGGAATTATTTTTGTGAACATTATTGCGAGTTTTACATTTCCCATTATACTTTGCTCTAGAAAAAGGTGTCGCCATATGCACATTGCCTACTTGATATAATACAACAAAAGTTGATAAAGCTTGCCCAAGTACAGATGCGGTAATAAGCGAAGCAAAAACTCCCAACTTGCCTCACAGCGTTCAGCCTCAAGTTTGAGATGAATGTTTTTTTGGTTTTCTTGTGTACCAACTTGCCTAACACCAAAACGAAATCGTTGTAAGTTAAGAAAAGGCGTTGATGATAATAAACCGACCCGCTACTTTCTCTATTTGCGCAAGACCTCGAAGCAAATATGATATTCGAGAGCGGCATAAATCTAAGAAAGGCTCTATTCCAGTAAATACGGAATTTCAATAAGGTCACCGTTGCAATGCAAAGAAGCAATTACTAAAACATGTTGAAAAGCTACCGTCCCGTCAAATTTATGACCTTTATGGGCCAAAACAAGATCTAAGGAAATTATTTTCCAACCGCAAGAATTTGGTACAACACACCCTTACATGGGCGCACCTTAACTCTGCCAACCCAGATCTATGAGTTGAGCCAAACCACTGACTAACCACGTCCGGCTGTTACAATTATGATCAGCTATTATCCCGTCAAAATCGTTCCCGTTTCCTCCTACTGGGTTGAATCTCTGGTATTTCAAAAGAGCTCCCGGACAGGCATCGGTTATTGATGTATAATACTTTAATACTTTATTTACTAAAACACACTGTCAGAGGTCATAAAATCAACCAATGAAAGCCTTTCAATGTTGKAAATACGTATTAAGTAAATATTGTCCTCCCTCAGATCAGTAAATTTTGAKCGAGCTTTTTTTCGTGAAATTGGGCAAAAACCTGAATCAATTTATATCTATATTGTTTTTGAAATAAACCCAAACTCAAGCTCATTTATATRTGTATATCGATAAAATTTTCACCACTTCTTGATTCCTTGACGATGCTGTAGACAGCGGAAGCTTGGAATCGCATATTAAGATCTTGCAAATAGCAGGCAAACCTTCATTTGACACAATTCTCACAAGCTTGAATTGTCTCCAAATTATGTGCACCCCTAAGAACCTATCATTCACCATACCACCGAGAATTCCGTGCCCTGTTCTTAGTCGAATAGGTGGTGTAGGTCCTTTTGATTTCCAACGCTGCTATACTAGCCTGTTTACATCCGTTTCCACCCCTTCCTCCCTACGGGGAAAATTCGGTTCCCCCGTTCCCCCGAAGGGGTGGGAACGGATGTACACAGGCTGGTGTGAAATGGATGATATGGGACCTCCGACTTTACGTCCTTTACAATAATACGAAGCACTTATAGATTAAAGTCTCACAACGTGATCGCTAGATCTCAYGCCTTAACCACTGAACCATCACGTTTTCCCCCTCAACTCACATTCAATGTGATACAGACCCCTTGTACCCCTTGCAGGGGACTGATTTTACATCTGGGGTACAAAACGATGGATTTTAGCAAACATTCGTGAAAGCAACAATCTCAAAGTTTTGGACCCAAAGCTGGAGCTAGAAAATTTAGCTTCTCAGTTACTTTTTATCGTGGATTTAAATGTTTTTTATACTTTATCAGACGTCTGTATTGAAGTTTGAAATCGGTACTCATGCCACATATTTGCCATTCTCAGACAATAAAGTTTGCTTATTGGGGCTATGTGTGTAATTGCCTTTCAGCAAAGTTTTGATAGAGACCCTTGAACTCAATTACTTTTATCTTTCARCGAATACTGTTTTTTTGTTAACCTCACAAATATTAATTTCCTCTATAATCTTGTGTTTTGTCTTCTCCTGTTTTCATAATATAATTAGTCTGTAAACGAATGCAATAAAAAAGATTACATCATATATCAAATTTTTACGTTTTTTGTTTTGGCTCCATGTTGAAAGAAAACAGGAATACTCCGGTGTGGAGATCGTATTCAAGTAGCCTTAGGCTCCGGTTATACGCCGAAATCGACATTATCAGTGCTAAATACAATTCACACATTTTAAAATGCATGTGAGGAGTGACGTATTTCATTGACCGATCCCGATTCATTGTCCTACCTCCCTAGTTACTGTTGCTACTGTTTGCTGTCGGACAAGCGAAAATATTCCTTTGATATAMAGCATGTATAAGATACCGATTGCTGCGATATGTAGGAACTTGCCTTGTGTTATATATTTTTTTATATTTTCATTAGGGAAGACTAATGAATTTAGTAAAAATTTCGATTTTGATGATTGTTGCTCGGAAAGTTTCAATCCCAATGGGCAAACTGCTCGTTGTTTGGTGATTAGTCTGTGTGAAGAAGGGATATCTACGACTGAAACAGTTGATGCGATACTGCAGCGCTCCTGRAGTTTATTTACACGTCGCATTTCATGTACTTGCGAGTACCCATGCCTTTTTTTAACGTGATTTATTCATTTTCTTTCAGCTATATGYCGGTTTTCCTGTGGTGGCGGAAGATGCGTGGCACCAAACCGATGCCGCTGTTTAGATGGGTCGCTGAGACCTCAATGTGGAGGAGTACCAGGTATAAGCGAATATAAAGCGTAGGCGAGGAAAAAAAAACAGTCCTAGGGATTGCAATCCATCGATCSGTAGATTTGCTTATTCTTTATTCCTATGAAAGAATGCTAAAAATTCCCATTTGTCTTTCAGGGAGAAATCAATGCAGACTTTTTTGCTTTAATGGTGGGGTGTGTAAAAACAATGTTTGCACATGCAAAGCAGGTTACACAGGAAAATTCTGCGAATACCGTGAGTACAACGCCTATGAGTCTGAAAAATAAATTGATGGATATCGGGCCGGTTGGTTCAAAGCTCGATTAATGCTAATCCAAGGTTAACTCTTAAAAAAAATACTATTAAGTTAAATCTGGATTAAGGGCCCACGTGCAYCCAAGAACCTTTGCGGCCGTTTTTCTTCTTTTACAAGTGAACTCTCGCTTAAAGGTGCTTTCTGATTGGTTCAAAATCTAAGATGGCAAACGTTCGTATGTGAGAAAACCGCGCAAGGGTTCCTAGATGCACATGTGCGTTTCAACGCTGATCGGGCTCTGGACAACCCGGCCCTGCATTGCAATCGTATCAAAATTGTCATCGAAAGTCTCTATTCTGATTGTTTCAATGTATCATATCTTGTAGCAATCTGCTCTATTCCATGCCAAAATGGCGGACGCTGTGTGGGTCCGAACAAGTGCGCATGTCCATATGGGTTTTCTGGTGACCACTGCGAATCAGGTACTGGATGAAGTCTTAACTAAAAACCCTAAAAAATATTACACGATTCGTGACGTCATTCACAGTGCAACATGAAACAGTGACGTCAAATCATGGTGAATTGATTGGTAGCCTTTAGCCAATCACAAATAAGTATGGAGAWTATGTCAGTAGCGTCCTTTTTCCCTGCAACTGCAGCCGTAAGATTTCTTGAAAATTGGTAAATCTTGAATATAAAGGGGCTGCCATGCCTTGGGTCTAATATGAAATGATAGATAACCCTCCAAAGGCAGAATTTTTGATATTATTACTGATCAGACCCGCCTTTTAGCTAAACCTCAGTGTAAATTTTGAAGAATTGATTTCGGATTTTTCTTTTCTCAAACTTAAAACTCAAGTTTGTATTTTCCAACATAATCAGATTACAGGACTGGACCTTGCTATACCGTCATCAAGAACAAAATGTGTCATAATCAGTTGATCGGTATCGTATGCACTCGCAATTTGTGCTGTGCAACCGTTGGGAAAGCATGGGGAAATCCTTGCCAACGATGTCAGGCCAAGCCAGGTAGGGTTCTTTACGATGTCCCGTATCAAGCATAAAATACAAATGCTAAATTCAATTATTACATTTTACAGCGCCGTGTGAGAGAGGATTTCTTCCTAACTTTAGAACAAAGGCTTGTCAAGGTAATATTATTTGTTTAATTGTAGTTTTGTTGTTGTTGTTGTTGTTGTTATTTTCTTGTTTTTTCATCGTTGTTATCGTCTATTGCCTGTTTTCGTATTCTTCTTCTTCCTGTTCTATTTCCATGTCTTCATTTATTTTCTTTCCTGTTCTTCCTCGTCGTCGTCAACGACTTCTTCATCACCTTATGATTTCGTCTTCTTCTTCTTTTATTTAAACTTCTTCGTCGTCTTTGTGTTCTCCTCTTTCTCCGACTTTATATCACCAATAAGCAATTGTTTGACAGATATCGATGAGTGCAAAGCAATTCCTAAGATTTGTGGAGTCGGAAAATGCGTCAACACTGTGGGTAGCTACAAATGCGAGTGTGGCAAAGGCAAAGTTCTTAATCCTGTGACAAGCACCTGCGTTGGTAAGTAACCAGTTTACGTTACACAGCCGGCCCAAGCAGTATCCGTTTACGCCCTCTGGGACGTAACATTTCCCTCGTTATTTTTAGTTGTTCCTCGTCGGTATTACGCTGCGATAAAGGCCGCAATGAGTGGTGATTATGAGTCCGCCATTATCACAAGAACGACAAGCAATTTCACTATAATTTCGTTCTTCCCACGGAATGACAACCGTTATCGTATTACKTTAGCTCTTGGTACGTGAGCTGCATGTGTACTTTTTACGTTAACGTATCATCCAGACGTGTAATAGCTAAAATGTAAAGGCTAAAGAGAGTCGTTATTTACGTGATTGAACGATGCAAAGTCTTAAATTCTTATTATGGAACGTTTACGCAAAGTATCAGCGATATGGTAAAATAAACGTTTAGAAAACGTTTAGTGCGGACGTAAGGTCGACGGCGGAATAATATTTTAATACGTAAAATTAAAGCATGCTACAGAAAATAGTCTGCATGAAAAATAATTGCRCGAAAACATAATATGCACTACGTAAGTTGATTAAGATTTAACGCATCGTTAAGCGTTTAGTACGCGAAATGGATAAAGTGAATTGCATAACGATTCCTCGCGTTTACTATCAAAGAAAMCCTCTACCGCAAAGTTCCACTAACGTCTCGAAAAATTATGGCAATCTATACAGKYWAACGTCAGAAAACCTGCGTTRWTTTRCTTGCKTTTTTTTGGCAYATTCCTGAYGAACGGCACTGCTATTKTKTTTTAAGATGTCGACGAGTGCAAGACCATTCCAAACATCTGCGCTAACGGCAAATGCATCAACAAAGAAGGCAGCTACGAGTGTAAATGTAACCCAGGCTACGTACCAAGTCAAGACGGCATGTATTGTATAAGTAAGTCTTTTACGTAAGCTCATTTACGTACGTACGTATGTACGTTTGTACGTTTTTATATCCGTTCGTATGAAATTTATAGGTGGGTGTCGGACAAAGTTAGATGAAATGGGTGAAGTTGTTGATTTATAAAGAAAACTTACAAGATTGTGGAATGTCGAATTAAAAAGGATACTTGACCCTTAGGTTTTTTTAGTCTTTCTTGAAGTAGAAAACATGGTACTCTATCTTATTCCATATTTGGTACTAACCACGGAAAACCGTCCGCTGTTCTTGTATTCTCGAAGGCTCATATTTCTGCAAACGATAAGCCTTGATGTTAAAGCTTTGTTTGAAGTGAGGTAGCCCAAGAGAAATACTGAGGTTGGAAGTACAAAGGTTTTATAGTRCTATCCACTGGCGGACAAATCCTCGTCCAGTGAATAAAATTCATGCAAAATAGATAAATAAAAAAAAAATCCTTTAGACCACACTGTAGTCGACTTTATCCACCTCTTGTCTGAACCGCAACCGAATCTTTGTTGTTTTTTAGCTGCCTGTTGTTTTGATTTGCAAATTATATTAAACGGACACTAAATAACTCGAAACAGTTTATCAAAAAAAAATTATTGGACGCGATACCAACGTGAACTTGGAGTTAGAATTATCGATTGCTTCACGCTGAGAAAGACGCGACGYCATGAAAAAATATTTGACAGCTGTAAGCCAATAACAGCCAAGAATATACATTTTGAAATCAATTATAATAATTGCTGTAATTTTCAGATGATAAGAAAGGATATTGCTACGAAGAGATTATCAACGACTATTGTCATAAACAGCAGTCCCGAAATGCCATCAACAAGGCTGCTTGYTGCTGTTCTATGGTTAAAGCCAAAGGCTGGGGATCCAACTGTGAACGATGCCCTGCCAAAAACTCAGGTTAGTCGAAACATATCCTTATATGGAAATTACTTTCTATATATGGTATTTGCGGCCTTCTTACTATAACTTTCTTCAAGGACACATGAAAGGACTGTGTGTGTGTTTTTTTTTTCAGATTAGGATTATACAGTTACTGATAATTTTGACGGTTTCTGGCAATTTTGACGTGTTTTTGACTCTATCCCAGCCCAAAACCTAACAAGTTCATTTACTTTAGAATTTTTCACTTTGGCGAAACTATAGTGATTATCTATCTYAGTAGTTTTTGTAAATTATATTTATTATATTGTTTTTTATGTCATTGCAAATTTGTTTTTCGCAGCCGAATATCAGTCGTTATGCGGGATGACCATTCCGTCTGCAATGCCACCTGGTAAGCAACATTACCATTGTAAACATAATCATTCTCATTCTTAGTAAATGTCACAGTTATATACCATAAACTAAACAATTTGTTTTTGCGGTTTCAGCGTCCAATGAATGCGCTCGAAAACCAGGGTTATGTAAAAACGGCAAATGTGTCGATCTACCGGTGGGTTTTCGATGTGACTGTAATGACGGTTACGTTAATAGAAACAACGTATGCGTGGGTAAGTGATAGTATCCTTCGAAATCCCGCATATCAAAAATTGCCTCAGAAAAGTTGTCCTTCATTTGGCAGCCATATTTGGTAATCTTACCTTATTTGAAGTACGTTTGGACTGGTTTTTGTCGATTTTCTCAACTTTTAAAGCTTGAAATTGTCTACTTGCAGATATTATAGCGAAAACATTTCTGAATAATCGGCCATTTTTGTTAGTTTCCATATATGGCATGGATTCGCTGAAGGAAGCCCAAAACTAAAATGCACAGGGTTCCCGCACTAATGACATACAATTCTTTGATATGTAATTTCGTCATGAATCAAGCTTGCGGCCACTGCAGTAATATATTGGACCATTGGCAGTCATCGTGCTCTATGTACGAGAAAGGATTTAATCTCTCATGTTGCTTGTGTTGTTTATTTTCAGATAAAAACGAATGTAAAGAAGACCCTAAAATATGCCCTAACGCACGATGTTTCAATACCATTGGGTCGTATAGATGCAGGTGTAATAATGGTTTTAAGTTTCCTGTTGGGGGGAATACATGTGTTGGTACGTTAATTATTGGGAGTCTGAAGTCAAATTCATGCGTGACGCTTTTTTATACTATACTCGAAAGAGTTTCTTCGACTTTCCCTTAATGCTTCGCGCACCGTTTAAAACATTTATTGAAAACTAGGGAAGAGTTTGACTCAATTATTCCCGTCTGAAAATCATTTTCAGTTCCAGGCTGAAAGCTGAAATCCTAAGTTTTTTATTTTTCATGCTTCATAAGGAAAAAAAGATTATTAATCTCTCAATCGATTGATTGATTTAATGATTRRTTGATTGATTCATTTATAGTTAGTTGAATTTGGGTCATTGCGGACTGATTCGTATAAATATCTATATTAATTCTACAGATATCGATGAATGTACTGAAGTACGAGGAACATGTCGCAATGGAAGATGTAATAATACCGAAGGCAGCTTCATTTGTTCCTGTAACAAAGGCTTTACTCTTTCACTAGACAGATCGAGCTGCGAAGGTTTGTATTCCGTATACCCTGCAAGCAAAGTCTCTCTTTACCTCTTCGAGAAACGTCAAAAGGAATACAGTCAACTCTCGCTATTACGGACACCAACGGTACCATAATTTAGTGTCTTCGTGTTCTCAGTGGCGAGAGTTCGTAGTAACGGGAGTTACTTTCAGCCATTTCTTTGTATTTTTCGCCGGGATTCAGTATTTCGTGCCCGTAATATCGAGGTTTCCGTAATAGCGGGGTAAAGAGAGATCACTGTACTTCAGAGTGTATTGCACTATCAACTATAAATTTGGTAATTTTTTGTGTTTAAAATATTTCCTTTTTTCTACTTTCTTGTTATAACAGACATGAATGAGTGCCTCAAGGAGAATGTGTGCAAGAATGGTGTTTGTCAGAATATCGGCGGTGCCTTCCGCTGCCGTTGTAATCCAGGCTAYGAATTGAGCTCAGATAGACGAAACTGCGTTGGTAAGATTTTATAGGAAAATATTTTCAGTTTATTCATGTATAATGTGGCCTTAAATAAGAATGCATGTTTCATCTCCAAACATCGGCACGACAAGTAGGCCTTCTCTTTCGAAAGCAATCAGATAAGATAGCAAAACGTTAAAATGCTGGGACATAATCAAAGATCCATGTTTAATTGTGCTTGTCTGATCCGATTCTTCTTTGACTGAAGCTTTGAAATATTTGGATACAGCGATCGCGAACATTTCTTCAAACACTGTTTGAAATGGCAAAGAAATGGCATTTCTTTGAATGTTCTTTGTTCATGAATGACAGCTGCCATTCATTAATTTATTTAATGAGTGATTCCTGGATTCATAAAATGAGAATTGCTAAATTTACACATCTAGACACGTGACTTACCGAGTWTTTTTCCAGATACCAATGAGTGTAAGAATGCTGGTTTGATGTGTGTCAACGGTGTCTGTCAGAATACTCCTGGAAGCTATCGATGCGAGTGCAACAAAGGATTTGCAGCCACAGCTGAAGCGAACAAGTGTGAAGGTTAGTGGCCTTAAACCCTTTACTTTCTTTTTTCTTTTTCCCCTTTCATCGTCTTCTTTCTGTTACTGCCTCACCCCTCTTCCCTACCAAATGCTCCCGTAAAATCTATGGCACTCTATTAAGAAACACATATAATATAATAGTGTCTATTAGAGTAATCATTTAATTATGATCATATCTATAGTGTTCCTTTTAGTGCTAGTTTGTACACGTTAATCAGCAGTAAGTTTCTKGTCTTTAAGTACTTTCTGTTCAAGGGTTTCGTACTGCCTTCCTACGTTTGTACACACTTTTGTATATTTATTGTCATTAAATAGCAGTTGCTTGGATGAATCCAAATTCGATCTTCTGGCRATGTGAGCCTTTGTTTGTACTGATGTTGCATATTTCATTATTAAAGTCAGTGATAAAGACTGATGTTCTATGGTGCTTTCTTGTTTGTACTTTAAATTCTTATGGTTGTATAGGGGTTAACTCAAAATGCTATCTATTTAATGCCTTTTAGATATCAACGAGTGTTCTACTATAAAAGACGTCTGCCTGCATGGACGGTGTACTAATTTCCCTGGTGACTACCGATGCGATTGTGACGCTGGCTATGTCGTAAGCAAAGACAGRCATCGATGCGTTGGTAAGTGAGGATGTTCATTGAGTTTCCWTTGRTMTTTTGAATTTRAAKCTAAGAAAATTTTGTTCCAGATGTTCGCAAGGCCCAGTGCTTCGCCAAGTACTCTAATGGTGCTTGTTCAGAAGCTCTACTTGCGTTACTCACCAAATCTCAATGCTGCTGTGGAATGGAGAATGGTGGACGTCGTGCTTGGGACACTACTTGCTCTCCATGTCCTCTGAAAGGAACAAGTAAGACCTTATTTTGTTTTTGCCTTCTTTTCTAACCGAGCCTGAGTGCTCTCTCGAAGGAGATTGGGGCGGAGCGACACGTGTCGTCCCTTTTTTTCCCTTTTTTATTATTTATTCCTTCTAACACAAATACCTTTACAATTCTTTATACAATTAAACAATTTACAACTTGATGAGTACCACAATAGATGTGGTACCCTAGTGTCGCCCCTGCCCAATCCCCTTCGAGGGAGCCTGAACTCAGGCTATTTAAAAAAAATATATATTTTTCTCGGCAGTTTTCGTATGAGGCCGGGTTCAATTATATTACCGAACTTTTGCATTCAACCATCTTAACCAACTCAATGTAACAACTGCTCTGGAAGCAAGCTTGTAGCTAGAAATGCACTGGTTGGGCTGCGTAAGAATCACTAATGTTGTACATTTTATTGTGTTAAAGAGGAGTACAAGAGAGTGTGCTGCATGGGTCCTGGAATGGATTGTGATGGCACAGGTAACCCATTCCTATAGCTAGATGCGAAAGTATTTCTTTTCCACCTAGAGATATCAAGTTGTCGAATATAATCATATAGTTATCACCATTTCTTAGGAGTGTCAAATAGTATTACTGTAGCTATAGTCATAAGCTTGTATTAATGTAAATCTATTGTATTATCAGCGGATAATAACTAGTAGCATAAGCGTAATCATAAGGATATAAGCCATAAGTTAGATCCTTGTGCTTGTGTTAATGTCTATGCGTTAGCTAGACAATAGGATTCATTTTCATAGTGATGCTCATATCATATGATTGTCTTATTGACAAAATCGTTTTTCCATTGCTTTGATGTTCCTTGAGATTACGATTATGATTATGATAATGTTATCATGTCCAAACCAAGCTAATTGATAAAGTACACGCTATCTTTGTTTTAACCAGACGTCGATGAATGTGCCAACAACGTCGGAGTCTGTAGAAACGGTAAATGTCGCAACGTTGATGGCGATTATTACTGTGACTGCAATCGAGGATACAGAAGTGATTCTACTMGAAAACTTTGTATTGGTAAGTTTCTCTCAACAGCAGACGAATGACATAAGCTATGTTCCTTTGACAAACTGACAGTATCTAAACCCGATCCGTTTCCCTTGAGGGATATTTGTTGATGGMTTGTGTCTTCTAGAAATCAATGAATGCCTCGAAAGACCACAGATATGTAAAGGAGGGACTTGTAAAAACTTGAATGGCTCGTTTGAGTGCGTCTGCCCTCAAGGTTTTACATACAATCGTGTTTCGCAAGCATGTGAAGGTAAGAACTAGAATTAGGAAAAATAATCTATCTTGTTGTCGTAAAAAGCTATTCACTCATTGTGCAGTTGTCTCTCTTTTGGCAGTCGTCCACTTCACAAGTAAATTGAGTAAATTCAAGTTCTAAATTCGTTTTAGACAAGGGGTTAATGCTGTTAATGTTATTTTTGAAGGATTCTATTGACTTTGACTGCACAGCCTGCCAGGCAACTAGCCAATCTCACAACTTTCCAATTAGCCAACAAAGCAGCAAACGTAGAAACCATTTCTATTCGTTCTATTCAGATATCGACGAGTGCGCAAGTCAGGAATTCTGCGTGTATGGCACTTGTTATAACACAAGAGGCAGCTTTCAGTGTGTTTGTCCACGTGGTCTAAAACTAGATCCTACAAAAAGGATTTGCCAAGGTACGATAAATATGATGTTGACGAAGAAACCTTTTTACATTGCTGCAAGTGTCTATGCTTGAGGTAATGCCCAATATTGCACAAGAGCCCTGTTGACGAGGTTGGATAATGCCCTCCTCGCTAAACTTTAGAGATTGATTCTAAAGATTATTTGTCGCCAGAAGGGCACAAAATGACTACATACTCTGATGAAGTCACATTGAAATAGGGCAATTTATAAGTCAATAAAAAATTGGATGAACGAATGCTTGAATAAAATAAACTTATCAGAGAAAGAATAAATGAATAAGGGAATAAAAACTGATAGAGTCTCTTTTTCTCCAGATCGTCGCAAAGGAAACTGCTGGACCAAGATTGTTAATAACCTATGCGAGGAGTCTATTAACGGWCAAGTCAGTAAAGAAGTTTGCTGTCAGTCTCTCGGGAAAGGATGGGGGAGTCCTTGCACTAAATGTCCYGCAGAACTAAGTAAGAGGTTATTCAAAATCTATATAGCAAGCAAAATAGGGTTTTTTGGTGTCGTACATATACTTGAATGTTTGCATTTCTTGTCGAATGAATGACAAGATGCTAACGGTCTCGTCCATACTGACTTTTAACGTTACTTTGTCCTTAGTGAAATAAAACCCTGATATAAAACGCAGTCAGTCCCGCGCGTCTTCCACGCCGATGCGTTTTGGCAACTTTTCAAGACTCACTCATACTGGTGCCTTTTCTTGGCACTTTGACCTGTTTGTCCTTCATAAAAACCGTTGCCAAAAAGTGTTTCTCAGTCATTCAATCAACTGTTCGCTCGTCTCTCCTCAAGAGACATTTAAGCTGTTATTCTACTTGAATGGCCTTCAATTATTAGCTATTAAAACTGTCTTCATGTTTAAMCAGAACAGAAATGTGATCCTGGTTACGCAGTCCAGTCTCAGCCACGATGTACAGGTAAGACAGTACTCTTCTCATTGACATCATCMTTGAAAAGTCCTGGAATTGAAAACTCGTTTTCAAGGGCGCTTGTAAAGCCCTTGAACATAGGAAAAATCGCTAAAACTCCTGGAAAACTCCTTGAGTCTGATGAAATTAACATCTTTTGTCAATTCGCACTAATTTCTTATACTATTATTATCCAGATATTGATGAGTGCAAGATTTTCCCTGGTCTMTGTAAGAATGGCATCTGCAAAAACACTCCGGGTAGTTACCAGTGCACCTGTCCTCCTGGTTTGACCCTTGATACAGTCAGACAAAGCTGTATTGGTAAGCTGTTAAATATTTGGTGAAATCTTACGATAGAGATAGATCTCATTTTCATCTTATTTTTATAAAAACATTTTT